TGTAAACAAAAGATATCAAAACTCATCAAAATTTTAAATTTTCATACTTAAACAATCTAATATATATATATATATATATATATATATATATATTATATATCAAAATAGACCTTGGAAAGTGTTCATTATTCTTTTAGAGCTATCAAACTCAGATATTAGTTTGTAAAAATGATCTGGATTTCACGATTTTGCAATCATCAGACAAACTGTTTTATTTGTTTTTTAATTGGTCTATTTATATTTTTAACATCATGATTTTTTTGATGAATATTTATACTGGAAAAATAACTTCTAATGTTTAAATATATCTGATTTATAATTTCACACATTCATTAGATTGTTTGCATAAAGGGGATATGGTTTCATTTACTTTGTTTTAAATAATCTGAGGTTAATATCAACATTTAATACGCAATTGTCATTTTATTTCGAAAAAGAAAGAAACAATTGTTAATAAATTTAAAAAAAAGCATATTATAAAATGACTTTCATAAAAAGTTTTTTTATTGTATCGCGTTTACCGTTTATAATTACTTAGGAAGGTGCACATAATGTTTGAATTTAACAAATATGTGTAAAAATTTTAAATTAAAACAGTTAATATACGGTATATTTTCAGTTAAAAATTCCAAAAATTCTAAAATATATTAAATAATAGCCTGGATTTCATATCATCTTTTGTGAAACAAAATTCTCAATGCATTTAAATGCCCTCTCCGTTGATTCTATGTATCTATATCTGTATATTTAGGTTTATCATTTGGAATTGTACGTATTCATTATAAAATAACCGATGGAATATCGGAATAAATATATATATATATATATATATATATATATATATATATATATATATATTTGTTTATTATAAAAACTCAATTTCACCTGATTTTTTTTTACTAAATCAATTTTTATTTCTCCGACGAAATAAAAGTTGAGCTAAATTCAAAGGATAAGCGATCTAAAATCGAATAAGAAGCTTTGAAAGCTCTTTGAATTTATCAGTAAGTACTGTCATCCGTTCATCCGTTCAATATAATGTTCTGGTTTCTTTTCTTTATATTCTTGTTGAAAAGACCCTTATATATGAACTCTGTACAAAAAATTTTTAGAGTCTTGTCTGCTCCCTTTTTGCTTGAAAAAACAAATCGATCCCACCATAGCTCATTTTATGCAGGATAATGCTCCCTGTCACAAATCAAAATTCATGTTAGTATCTGTTATTCAAAAGCAAATATATATATATATATATATATATATATATATATGTGTGTGTGTGTGTGTGTGTGTGTGTGTGTGTGTGAAAATATATAGAAAATAGGAAGGAACTGGTTAGGTAAATAATCCAAAGTCCCTTAGTATTTTAGTTATTATTTTTAAAAAAATAGTGCTCGATACAAAAAATAGAGCATAAATATAATTATTTATTTAAAATATGATTCCAAAACGTTACATAAAGAAGTCTTATGTTTTAAACATTTACATTCCATGGTTATAATTGGAATCGTAAATATAAATCTAATTCATCAGATATACAAATTCAAAAAAAATTTTCAAATAATAACTTGGGGATAAAAAAAAATTTAATTTGACACAATATATGAGAATTTCTGGGCGAATGTGAATAAATGAAATCATATTTATTGGTAACAGACGCTAAACAGGAAGGACTAAAAAGTCAAGGTGGGGATTAAAATTTAACCGAGAAAAGTTTTAAAAAGAGGGTTAATGAAAAATTTTTAAAAATATAGATACGGATAAATATGAAAATTTTCCGATGCATAATTCATTACTGAATCGTTGGCCTAAATTAAATTAAAAACCGACACCGGAAATGGGTTCATACATTTGTGGTAACACTACGCACAATAAACTAAGACATTTTTCTCCGATGAAATTCTAAATTAGGAAACACATCACACGAAAAGCTTTTCCATATTTTCATACACATTTCCCACAATATTATTCTTGATATATAAAACATTATATATAGATATCTAATTGATATATACATTGGAATCATATCAAATTTTAAATCATTATCTAAGTTACGTCAAATAATAACAATCGCCATCAAATATATAAAAAGGAGTGAAAAATTAATATTTTAATATTTCCCATTTTAAAATCGGATCTTTGTTATTTATTCTTTTATTTCCCACACATCTGTTAGAATTCCTAAGGCTTTCTATCTTGAATGATGACTTGTGATTATACCACCTCTTCTTGTCATCCACTTTCAGTAGACCCTATATATATTTTGCTATCTCACTTTATATATTTTACTTCGGTTTTGTAATTTACTCCTTCCCTTTTGTAATCTTCATTTAGTGGACATATAACTTTATCTCTACAGTTACACGTTTGTCTGTTAACGATATCTTGCTGCACGTTATCTCTGGAAATCATATGTTATAATATATATATATATATATATATATATATATATATATCCTATATCTTTATCACTTTTTCTCGCTAGACGCCACCTTGTTTTGTCAAATTCATTTCGTTTTGTTTCGTCTGTAGTGTCTTAAATATCCAATTTTTACCTGGCAGTTCTTACTGCCGATGTGACAGGAGAAGATGGAATTGGAATAGATTGCTCATTCTGCTTCCAGCGTTGTCTTCTGATTTCCAACTGTTGGTATCACTTTTGCTCATTCTTCATGACTCGACCTTAAATAGCATGGTGCCAGCCGCTGCGATCGTCTGCTAGCAGTTGCCATCTATCAACTGTCAGTTTCAGAAACCGTTTTCATAACGCCTTTAAAATGGAGTACAAGGCCGACCACTGGACAATGTCCTGTGATCAGGACTGTTGTCTTTCTCGATATACGACCGTCATTTCTTTCGGTTTACGTGATCTAGACATCGAAGTCTACGTTGACTGAGGAGGAGGAGGAGGAGGAGGAGGAGGAGGAGGATGCACATGCTTCAGTAATCGGTTTGCTCTAGCACACCAGTGTTGTTAAGTTCGTCTCTTTTGTGATACTGAGGATTCGTCGGTGGTAGCAGACGTGTAAGGCGTGTAGGTTGATTTTCCTGTCCGGCGTATATCGTTGAAGTTTTTCTGATATACAGAACTATTCAGTAACATATTTTTTTGCTTTGCAGCTTTTCATAAAGGGTTAATTTCGTTTGTATATTTTTCTGTTTCTTGTGTCGTGTTCATTTGTTCTTTATACCTTTTCCTCTCTCTCTCTTCTCTCTCTCTCACACACACACACACACACACACATATACATATATATATATATATATATATATATATATATATTTAAACTCCTATTGTTTGTATATCTTTGCTTTATCCAGCTTCTAATTTTTCTGTAGGATGCGCCTTAAGGAAAGAAGACGTAGATGGGGGGGGGCAATATCTAATGGGAAAAGTATACTTGAATCAGTTACACTACGGAATTTGTGAGAGCAGCGCTGTCTCGAGTCTATTTACATCTTCGCCGACGAGGACCGATGGTACAGTAGGTATGTCGCTCCGACCAGAGTTCGATTCTAGGAAGTGGATGTGCACTGCTGCTAATTCTCATGCGTCCTTCCAATGCGTTCTCCATTCTGTTCAGGATTCTTCTAAAATCTATGAATTACTTTGATTTGTTTTTTCAAATACCCCCCCCACAAAAAAAACTTCTCTTGTTTGTGAATTTTGGCAGCATGTTTTTCTTACAAAGATGCAACACCCTGATGATGATATTGTGCTAATATCGAAAGTACTCGGAATAAAAGAATATGTATCAACACGGTTATTTTCTCTTTTCCTATATGTTCATATACCAAAAAGCTTTTCCGTGAATATGAAAATAATTGAAAATAAATAGACAAAACTTTTCTAAATTATTCAATGAAACACACACACACACACACACACACACACACACACACACACACACACACACACACATATATATATATATATATATATATATATATATATATATATATATATATATATATATAGATAGATAGATACGGATATATTCTGAAAATAAAGTGCGTTTTGAATCTGTCCGAGTGTACTATACATCTATTCTATTAGGTATTTCCAGTGCAGTTTTTGTTTCTTAATTGAATATATAGATTTTCTTATATATTAATTTCTAGAGTAATGGTATTTTTTTCCAAACAAGGACAGCACATTGGGGCCATGTTCATAGTTGATGTTATTGAGTGTTGAACGGAAATCCTTTATACGGACACAAGAACAATTGAAAAAAAAGCTTAACTGCAGTCGTCTTTAATTAAACTTGTATAAAATAGGGTATTTATTCTGAACAATACAGAATTGTGGCACAAGGCCAAGTGGGAAAATGGAAGTCATGGGTCTTCATCAGCTTTTCTAATCCTCGTTAATACGACTCATGACCCATTCATTCATTATAATTACACATTCCCCGAAAGATCTGATCCATCACCTACAAAACACCACACGACATGAAAATTTGCAAATTCATGAAATTATGTAGGGTGGCATTGTACTAATATCGAAAGTACTCGGAATAAAAGAATATGTATCAAAACGGTAACCAAGAAAACAGACTCAATATGTAAATCGAAGAATAAACCATAAAAAAGAATGTCAATAGGAACCATCAAACCCTAAAATAATAAAAGAGGCTGTTGTATAAAAGAGAGATTTCTGCCCAAAATACACAATTATCTATCTATCTTTCTATCTATCTCTCGCTCTCTCTCTCTCACTCTCTCTCTCTCTCTCTATCTATCTATCTCTATCTATCTATCTCTCGTTCTCTCTCTCTCTCTCTATCAATCTCTCTCTCTCGCTCATTCTCTATATATCTCTCTATCTATCTATCTATCTATCGCTCGCTCTCTGTCTATCTATCTCTCGCTCTCTCTCTCTATCTATCTATCTATCTATCTATCGCTCTCTCTCTCTATCTATCTATCCATCTTCTCTCTCTCTCTCTCTCTCTCTCTCTCTCTCTCTCTCTATATATATATATATATATATATATATATAT